ATATCTGCTGTGTTTGGGTTCCCAAGGTGTTCAGTTTAAGCAGGTTTGACTGTGTTTTTTATTTTTACTACATGGATGACTTACATTTTTTCATTATCAATTAGTTGTTTAAAGCGAGGGAGTTGTCAACTGCGCATGCGTCAGATGGCCATAGCGTGTCATTGTTTACAAACAAGTGTTTACCATGAGCATTTGCGTTTTTAGTGTGTGTTGTTATCATCGCTTGAGACTCGATTCTCGCGTGTTCGCAGGTGACAATCCTCCTGCTTTAAGCCAAAAAACATTATTTTGATTCTCGGCCATTACGCGCATCACTTTTCATTTTGGTAAAGTGCGCCGCATATGGTAGAATGAGGAAATGTTTTGTTTTCTGTCTCAGAGGATGTTTTGTTACTCTAAATTAACTTTTCAAAAGCAATATTTGATGAACATTCATCTTGTTGTTGTTGTTGTTGTTTTTATATTAAATAATCTTAATACCAAAAAAATAATTAAAACCATGTCACCAAATTATTTTTCAATTTTATCTAGCGCTTATGTGTGTATAGTATCATTCATGGTCTTTAATAGTTATCATTCATTTTGATAATTGAGATATTGATTAATTTTTTATTTGTTTTCTGCACCCTTCGATCCCACAGGAAGGGACAGCTCCAGTGATTTTACTCGACTTTCTCAAGTAACAAGCAGTAATATACAGAAGATTACACAAAATGGTGAGTGATATTGCAGCTTTCTTGGGTGATGTCCATGAGAGATGTCTAGTATTTACAGAGATAACAAGTGTTCCTAGTGATGTCCAATCCTCGGGGGCGGACATCCGGGCATTTTCACCGCCTGGCAACTCTCGCGGTGAAAACAAAGGCCCAAAACTCGCAGAAAACAGTACTTTGGGATGATTGTTGAGACTCTCCGAACAGTGTAACAAGATTTGCCCTACGTGTGTAACATGTATAAATTTGGTTGTTCAGGATTACTGCAAAGTTGAGTTTGTGTTGTTTTCTCTAATTTTCACCGGCTCTACCGGCGTTCCACAGCAGCGCGCACAGAGCCCATAGAAATGCATGTACAGTGGTGCGCGTCGTAGCAACGTGGAACGTCTTGTGACGTAGCTCCGCCCCGAGGATAAATGAATGAATAAACGAACAAATGAATGAATCTTAGAAAAATACAATTTAATGTTTATCTAAATATTTTAATATGACCTGTGATTTATTGCAGTTGTGTCCATTCAAAAGATGGTCAATAAATTAGGAACGTCTGAAGATAACAATAGCCTGAGAGAGCAATTGTGAGTACATTTCAACTATGCAACTAGTACTATAATTCTGTTGTTAGACAAGATTTATGACTAAAATATCAAGTCATCATATATGGTCATATTTTATTAAATTAATTGTCATACTATAGCCACTTGCACCCACCCTGATTACTACTTGCAGTTATTTTTTATTTGTACTTCATGCCTCCAATACTCTCAACACACAAAAGTTCTTTTTATGCTTTCTCCGATTACTAATTCATCTTAAAATTTGTCGTAAATTTTGAAAACAATTCTCAGTTTACTACCTTTATTAGTGACAAGGAGAGTGTGTTCCCTTTCT